GATTACGTATATTTCAATTACATTACAAAAAAATGCATTCAGCGGGATAAGTTTAGCAAATTAATGTATTAAAATAATAAATTCATTTAGCATTTGTTTTCTCGTTATATTTTAAAATAAATAATTTAAAGGCATTTCTAAACTTAAAATGGTTTATTTCTCAGTTTAATTATTTCTTTCAAAATTTAGTTGTCAAGATTTAAATTTTTTAAAATAAATTTCCATAAAAAATGCTTAACACATATTAAAATATAGGATATTTTTTATTTAAAATAGCATGTACATAAGCACAAATGCGGAGTGGGGACTTGCAACTTGTTATTTTAGCTGATAACAGCGTGGAAAGAGAATGAGCAAGACTTACTTTAAATGTAAAAAGAAGTTAAAAAAAATGGCAAACAATTACACTAGGAAAAATTTCAAATTCGTTTAATTCGGAAGAAAAAGAAAATTAGAAAAATCTTCTTCAAGGAGTTTTAAAAGTTTACAAAATGATTTAAAACGTAAATTTTGTTACATGTAAATTTTTTAATTGAATTTTACCCTAAAATTCTTAATTCTGAATTGCTACATCTATTTTTTCTTACATGGGAAGAAGGAAAATTTCAAAATAATCAAAAACGATAATGCAACATCCACAAAAATTGTAGATTGATGAAAAAAAAAACATGTTCTAAATATTATTAAAAATAAATTTAAAAAAATAAAAAAGTTTAGTCATCATAACTCAAAATTTTTTTATTACATTTACAAATTATTATCATTGATAATTATTATTACAACGTGTGTCGAAAGTAGAAGTATTTTTGAGTTCTCAATCTTTTCGCCAAAGCTAAGGCATAAGTATATTTATTTTATCTCTGAAATTATATAAATGATATAAATCGTTTTTGTGAAGAAAGGACCTCATGATTTAAAAAAAAGGCTCTAAGTCTAATCCCCCCCCCCCAAAAAAAGAGTTTTTGATGCACAAGGAGAAGAAGAAAATAAAAATTTTAAAAACAAGCATAGTCTAAAAAGTTTGTCTACAGCTTGTCTGAAAATTTACAGCGACCGTTTATTTAATAGTAAAACCCGAAATTCAATTCTATTATTAAAAAACCCAGATTGAATTATAATAAACAAATTTCTTACCAATAACTGCACACAATAAACTAATCCAATAAACTGACAACATTGCGCTACCAACGACGAGAAACAAGTGAGCAAAATCGTCTTCTGCGTTCGTTTCTGCGTGTAAAAACAAATATTTAAACGTTTTTTTTTCTTCATGTACAAATCTTTTTTCTCTTATTTGTTTTTACCCATGCTTTCTGTGTAATGATTAGCTAATTATTAAAGGACAAATTGATAACTCACCCAATTAAAAAATTAGGAAGGTCGAGATTTCTTCTGTTGATGTTGTTTTAAAATAATAATATTAATTTGTCTGTCTGGGACAAAATAATTCGGCTTGTGGGTCTCTCGCATTTTATTGCCGATGTTTATAAATGTGTTGTCATCAGTTGACATCAAATCAGCGGTTCACAATTATAAATCAAGAAGGTTTTTTCTATGGATGTTATTTTAAAATAATCATTTTAATCTGGGACAAAATAATTCAGCTTGTGGGTCTCTCACATTTTATTGCCGATGTTTATAAATGTGTTGTCATCAGTTGACATCAAATCGACGGTGTCAGAACAGCGGTTCACAAATATAAATTAAGAAGGTTTCTTCTATTGATGTTGTTTTAAAATAATCATTTTAATGTGTCTCTCTGGGACAAAATAATTCAGCTTGTGGGTCTCTCACATTTTATTGTTGATGTTTATAAATGTGTTGGCATCAGTTGACATCAAATCAGCGGGGTCAGAACAGCGGTTCGCAATTATAAATTAAGAAGGTTTCTTCTATAGATGTTGTTTTAAAATAATCATTTTAACATGTCTGCTTGGGACAAAATAATTCGGCTTGTGGGTCTCTCACATTTTATTTCTGATGTTTATAAATATGTTGTCATCAGTTGACATCAAATCAGCGGTTCACAATTATAAATTAAGAAGGTTTCTTCTATGGATGTTGTTTTAAAATAATCATTTTAATGTGGGACAAAATAATTCAGCTTGTGGGTCTCTCACATTTTATTGCTGATGTTTATAAATGTGTTGTCATCAGTTGACATCAAATAAGCCGGTTCAGAACAGCGGTTCACAATTATAAATTAAGAAGGTTTCTTCTATGGATGTTGTTTTAAAATAATCATTTTAATTTGGGACAAAATAATTCAGCTTGTGGGTCTCTCACATTTTATTGCTGATGTTTATAAATGTGTTGTCATCAGTTGACATCAAATAAGCCGGGTCAGAACAGCGGTTCACAATTATAAATTAAGAAGGTTTCTTCTATAGATGTTGTTTTAAAATAATCATTTTAATATGTCTGTCTGGGACAAAATTCATTCATAGTATACTAGTAAACTGAGCTTCCATCGTATATCCTTAATCTTGATGACGCTATCATTAACAAATCGAATAAGCATTGATAAATAATAATCGTTAATTTTTTTCTCGTTTTAGCTTTTAAAAAAATAATATATTTCGTCAAAAAGATTTCAATTCTGAAAATAATGAAATTATTGAGTGGGTTCCTTGGAGCACTATCATTCTTCTCCTCTTATGACAAGATGTAGGAAAAATTTGTTTTCACAGTTTCTGTAAAAAGTATGCCAACCTTCTCACCGCGTATTTCTCTTTTCGATTAAAATAAGTTAAAAACTTGTGTATTTTTTATTTCATTTTTAAAAAAAATCAGATGATGATTCTTAAATTGGCACGGCTTCGGAATCTTTTTACAAACTTCAATTTCTAGTATTTGCTGTTTAACAAAATAAGGCATTTTCCTAATAACAAATTATGCTGTAATAATATCTTGGGAATAGTGCTGGAATAGTTCAAAAGCAATTTCAACAAAAGTAAGCTTTTTCAACATCTTTTATTAAAAGAGCAACTTTCTTAAAACTACCTGTGCAATATATAAGCTTAAAAGTCAAAATAAAATTGCGGTTTGAATTTGTTAATTTCAAAAACAAAGCAAACAGTTGTGGTTTTTTGAGTTGTACTAACATTCACTTTGAAGAAGATTTGGAAGTTTGAAAAATATTTTATCTTATCTTAGAGAAAAAAATATTTTATAATGTTAAAAAGTGTTATTATAATTAATGTCACCAGTAAAAAAAAAGTAGAGGACGTTTGTGATTCATAAAATTTATTTTATCATGAAGTTGCATAATTTAGGTCTACAGGTACAAAAAGTATACAAGCATTGTAAGTTACGATAAAATCAAAGTAATTTAAATTAGAAGCAAGGAAATTGATAAATAATAATAATTTTAAACTGCAGTAAAGATTCGACAATTTGTGAAGCACATCATGCTCTTAAAATTTCTAAGGTAAATTTACCTATCATGCTAGCTGAACAAAAGTTTCCCAATGTAAACAACGCAGTTTAGATGTATTATGTGAAACTTTAATATATAAATAACATCTGTATACAATTAACATAACAAAAGTACTTTTTATTAACATGAAAGAGATTTTATCATCTTGAAACAATTATTCTATAAGATAGTATTATTAACCAAAAATATGATGCACATTATAATAATTTTATAATATTTAAAGAAAAAAGAAACATGCAATCATCACAAGAAAGTACTTAAAATGAGTTATAAGTAGTTTTTTTTTGTTGTTTGATTTAGTTGTGATATAGTAAAACAGATTTTTTTTAGTTCAATTTTTATAATAATAAAGAGTGCCACGTGTAAAATACTGTTATCAATGCAAGTGAATTTAGTTAAATAATCTCAGAGAAATAAATAAAATAGTCATTTAATGCGATAAATATCAGTTTCAAACTATTTTCTTTTTCGTTCAGTTTGAATAAAAGAATTGATCAAGGCAATTAATTTGTTATTTCGTCGTTCATACAATTAAAGTAATTTTAACTTCATAAGAGCTCATGAATTTGCTAATTATAAATTTAACAAATGAAATATTTCCAAAAAACTTATGTAAAAATTTTTACTTTTAATAACTAAAATAGTTACTTTGAAACAAAAAAATTTTTGCCAGTGAGGTTTAGATATTTTGGGATACTTCATTATATATTTGCCAGTTACCTAAATTCTTTTACCTATTTGTTGCATTCTTCCAAATCTCGAAAACAACTTCTTTGGAGAAAGCAAATTCGTATATTTGCGTGAGCTTCTATACGCTCCCGCACGTAAGATTGAAACGACTGCGCATGCTTGCGTTTATTTTACATGCTACGTATACACCGAAGAGCCATTGCATTATGACCACCCTGCTAATAACATGTAGGACCACCTTTAGTCCTCAAAACTGCTAGCACCCGCTGTGGCTGATAGGTAGTCTGAGATGCTGATAGGTAGTCTGAGGTGCTGATAGGTAGGTGCTGATAGGTAGTCTGAGATATCTGGTACCAAGCGCTCACCAACTGAAACTGCAATTCCTTCACATTGCGAGGGGGTAGCGTGGCAGCACGGATTTGGTTTTCCGAGTAGGACCACAAATGTTCCATTGGATTAAGGTCAGGTGAATTTGGGGGCCAAGACATGACTTGAAAGTCACTGGAATGTTCCTCGACGATTCGACCCTTATGACATGGTGCATTATCCTGTAGGTAAAAACCACCCCCGCAGGAAAAACTGTTGCCATGAATGCGTGAACCTGGTCTGCAACTATGTTCAAGTAGCTTACAGGCGTCAGAGATTGTTCTATGAAGATTATGGGTCCTAATGTGCCCCATGAAAACATTGTTCTTGGGCGAGAAACCATGAAAACCTGGGCGAGCCCATTGTTATAGATGGAGGGTGGTCATAATGTATAATGACTCTTCTGTGTATATACGTTATGTTGGCGTGATTTGTTCTACTAAGACAAAGCTGCAAGAACTGTGTTTATAACTGTTAAATGCTATTTTTTCTGTTTAAGCCTACCTTCAAACTAAAATCATGGAGATAGAATGCGAATTTGAAGAAATTTATTGATGGAATTTAATAATGAATATGTGATCTTGCAACAATAGGTTCATTCAATAAAAAATAATTTTATAGATTTTTGTTTAACATTATGGTAGTCTAATTGCACTAGTTCCGTAAGAAGCTAAATGTATATTCGCTATTTAAAAATTACAAATTATATTTATTTTAATTATTCAATTTAATTAAAAGAAGTTAAATAATGAATCGAAGTTCAATAAAAATTTTTTAAATATTATTATTAATGATTATAATAAAAATAAGCTGCATTCTTCATCTCTGAATTCATCAAAATCGATACCGAATATACAGAATAAATATACCGAATTTTTTGCTCAGAGTTCCACAGTTTTGCGCAGAGCAAATCACCTTGAATCATATGCCATAGTTTTAAATGCCACAGCTTTGAATCATACGCGAATCTCTTGCAATTGTTTTTATTGGAATTTCATTATTGTTTATTAAACGAGGTAACAATTAAGAGACACCAAGAACTTGTTCACAAAAAACTGCTTTTTGTTATCCACAGAGTGAAAAAGGCGATTTGGCATTTCAAATGTTTTCATTATTTAGAACGATTCTAAATCTCATTTCATTCTACAGGACTTTGAAATCCATAGTAATAAATTGTAGAATTACTCTCGACTGTCCATAAAATTATTATCAATAAAATACACATCAGGAAAAAAATTAGTTCCTATATCTAACAAAAACAGACATTTTAGTTTCTTTTGTTCTTACCTTTAACTGTTAAAATAATTTTAATTGTCACCTAAGCTATTCTAATCGATTAAATTAGAAGGGTAAATATCACAGCCTGTTTAATTTTTACCTTTCTAAATCAAGTTTGTTTGACGATGGGTCGCTGGTAAGACTTGTTTCGTATATGATACTGTGGGTCATGAAGGGAGAATCACGTCGCCTGAACTTGTTAAAACAATATTTAGATGTAGACAAAATTAACGATAACATTAATAAAGTGTTACATAATCGTTTAGTTTTGTGAGAATGAAAGGGACGAAGAGTACAACAAATGACGCAATGCGTGCAGTGCTGCCAGTCGAGAATATCATAACGAGATCTTCTTTTTCCAGGTTCTCTTCTCCATACAGCCCAAAGCAATTTGTGAATGGCCCCTCTGTTGATTTGCCGCATAACGTTCTGTATTCTTCGCCTCCCGAAATAGTGGTAAGTTTTTCCATAAAACCTTTTGCGTCCTGGTTACATTTCAATTCAACTGATGTTATTGTGCACATTTTCAACCATTCAAAACCACTGAAAGTTGGAAAAATATCAAGTGATCAAATAAATTTTAAATTGAAAAAAGACACTCTTTTTTTTATTAATCTTTTATACAGTAAATTTTGATTTTAAAAAAATATTAAAAAGCAGCTAATATGTTATTGCTTGCCGTAATGTTTTCTTCCTTCGTTATATCAACGTGACTATTTGTGCATGTACCTTATTTTAAATAATTCATGCATATTTTTAAAAATCAGAAGTTTTCCACCTGATTCTACATAGTCCAGTCACATTAGCCTGAACAACGATCAAAAACCAGAATAAACATTTTTCGTAGAGCGGACGGCTGCGAGATGAGCAGGAAGAGAGTTAATTAGGTTCTCGAAAGTGTTTAATAGGTGTAGATCCATGCCGTCTCTGGGCAATAATTCCTGGGGCAGCCGTGGTAGCTCAGGGGATAGAGCGTCCGCCTTCTAATGAGGTAAACCGGGTTCTAATCCCAGTGATGGCTGGTTGATGCGAATTCCTCATCCGGCACGCACCGACCACAGTGCTGACGTAGAATACCCTCAGTGGTAGACGGATCATGGGTTAGAGTCCCCTTGCCGTAAGGCTAACAGTGGGAGATTTTTCTCTCCATGTAATACAAAGACGGACTAGTTCCATAAAAAAAATTCTCCACGAAGGCAAATTTCTTCCAATACTTGATCCAGGAGTTCCCTTGTCTTCTGGATTGAGTTCTAAACTTCTAGGGCTATGAAGTTGAACATTAGTAGTCAGAAACCCAAACATAGGGTCAGCAGTTCAACGACCGCTATAAAATACCTCCTAGAAGAGAGAAAGCCTAAGCAAGGGTTACCATGAACAAGAAATTTGATCCTTTAATGTTTAAAAATAATGACATCTTTCGAATTATCCACTACTGCGTAGCTTAGTATCCCGAACGCAGTGGCATCTTTCTTATTAACCTCCACTGCACAGTTTATGTTCGTTACTTCAGACTACTAAATTGATCCATGTTGAGGCAACACATCCTAGATAAAAGCAGGTCTCAGCACGGGTTACCATAATTATTCCTTAGTAGTCCGAACGAAATGACATATTTCGTATTTTCAACCACTGCACAGCTTAGTACCCTTAACGAAATGACATCCTTCTTATTTTTCATCTACTGCGCAGTTAACTTCGCTAGATCGGACTACTAAATTGATCCGTGCTGAGGCCTTCCTTCTTTTAGGCGGTGTTGGTTGAGGCCCCTCTCTCCTCTAGGAGGCGTTGCTCCAATTTCGCGACCAGCTACCTAGATTGCGCGATTGAGGATCCACGTCGCTAACTGTCCGATCGAGGAGGTTCTATCACAGATATTCCAATAGATTTTTTTAATCTTGTTTATTTTTAATTTTTAAAAAAAAATAGTTCAAATTAGACATATTTGGATGTTTGACATTTAGATTTTCTTGAAATTTTTAAGATATGTGCTTTATCGAAAACAATTAGACATGTTTTTCTTTTTTGAAATTTTTTTTCCACGAAGTTTTAGGAGTTAAAACTGTAGATTTACTGGAGTTTCGAGAAAAACGCATCAAATACTAGTGGCAATCCTTTTTTGTGAAACGAATGAATCATGTCATTCACCGTTATCTAATTTTCTGTCACGCTCATCCGCGGAATGAATCATGTCACTCACCGTTATTTAATTATCTGTCACGCTCATACGCGGAATGAATCAGTCACTCACCATTATTTAATTTTCTGTCACGCTCATACGCAGAATGAATCATGTCACTCACCGTTATTTAATTATCTGTCACGCTCATACGCGGAATAAATCATGTCACTCACCGTTACTTAATTTTCTGTCACGCTCATATGCGGAATGAATCAGTCACTCACAGTTATTTAATTTTCTGTCACGCTCATACGCGGAATGAATCAGTCACTCACCATTATTTAATTTTCTGTCACGCTCATACGCGGAATGAATCATGTCACTCACCGTTATTTAATTTTCTGCTAATAATAATTTGAGAAATATATATAATATTTTTTATAGAACATATTAACTCAGGAAAATTCAATTCTCATTTTATTAATAAGCATTTATTTGATATAAATTAATTAATCATCAAGTTAAAAAAAAATTGTCCACACTGAACATAAAAAAACAACAACAACCGAACATCAAAAGTGCTATATTTGAAAACATAAATAAATGAAAAATCGCCTATCGTGCATCCGCGGTTACTCAAACCAGAGAAATCTTCAGGTTAAAGTTAATTAACTCTGGATCCAACTAACACGCAGTTACGGACATCATGGGGAAATGAAATTTTAGAATCTAACCTGGAGTTGCTCTCATAAAACCTATTTCTAACTGTGACTGAATGATAGTTTCCATAGTGAATTCGGCCGTTAGATGAATTCACCATTGACTCTGACCTAACGCGAAACTCACAGTTCTGAAATCTGGGTTTGGAAACATTGACCACGAGTCAAAAAGTGTATTCTTCATTATTTTTTGACCCTCAGTTTTGTAACTGCGGGCTTCTTTGCTTGCTGTTAACTTGCACTCCGGTATTAGATAGATGTAAAGCCTTATTACTAGTGTTTGTTTCCAACTTTCGTTGCCATTTTTAAAACAATTTTTCTATTGAAAGAAGAAGAAGAAAAAAAAGGATTGCATTGAGTAATTAAATTTGTATCACCATTTTACTGGACAAATGAAAAAGATGTTTCCTAACTGAATTGCTAGGAAGTTTCGTTTTTCCAGCTGACTTGCATTGATGAGCAAAAGGATCTGAATTTTATAATTATGAATTAAGATATTTTATTATTATGGATATCATAAGGCCGCACGCAAACATAGAAATATTACTGAAATTCAATTAAGAATACTTCGCTCATGGGCTGCAATAGCGGCACAAGTCAAAAAATCAAGTCTTGAGACAAGTGGGTTTAAAGTTTTCATTGCTAAACAAAATGCATAAGAAATGCTTTCTTTTGCTTAAACGAAGATTACCTTCAAGTTGAATTATAAGTTGTGCTAGTATTGCTGCTGAAAGAATGTGTATTTTCATATTTAGTCCTGTTCTTAGTCCGAAACGCGTGTTTTTTGAGTTGTGCCGCTATTGCAGCCCATGAGCGACTTTTATTTCACACAACTATTTAATACTTTAATTTTACACAACGATCAAGGGGATTATCTTAACATCATTCTCATCCTTATTCACATTTTTAATCTTTTTTTCCCCTTCATAACATATTATCGTTAAATAAAATCATTGTGAAGAATTTTCTTTTTTAAAACACTTTAAATGAACTAGAACAAAATAAATTTTTCAGCTCAGATAAGCATAAAACAATACATTCTTATTATTCAGAAGTCATAAATGACTATTATTGTGCTGCCAACTGCTGATAATAGAGAGAATCACAGTGAATAAGATAAAAAAAATTTGGCATATGTCATAATCTGAACAAATATTCCAAAGCTTTCAAAATTAAAAAAAAAAATCATGCAATTAAAAATTTAATTATTTAAATAATTGTCAATGGAAATATATCAGTTGTATATATGCTCCAGATGTAATTTAGTAGCCAGGCCATATATTAAAAAAGACAACTAAAGACGGGTATTTTAACTTCATATAGTTTTAAGCAATTAATATCTCTTCCAGATAATCCTATTTTTTCCAAATGTTCAGCAGATTATTTTATGGTTATAAAATTCCAAATTTCCTAATTTGCAAAGTTATTTAATGCAGATTATTGTGTACTTTAAATGTTACCTCAGATCAAAATTTGTACTGATTACATAATATTCATTTCAGCATAATTTTTAAATATATATTCAAAATAATGTATATGTTTTTAATTCTATTAATAGTTTTATTTTATGGATAAAAATTTTTTTTAAATGCTATTCGTTATCTTCATATCTAAATATTGCACAGTAATTCGCCTGTTCATCTCTAAACTATTTCTTAATTTTGGGAAAGATCTATCATCTCGATAGATATTATCAAAATCTATAATCATTTTATGAATTGTATACTTCTTTCTTAAATTTTCTTTTTCTTTCAAGCATCGATTGTTTTTTGTCCTTTTAAAAAAATAAATAAAAATTAGTTGAATTATTTAGAATCCTATTACTTACACTATTCAGTTGAATTATTGTGGCCACATTCTATATTATCCACAATTTTTTTTCCAGTTAAAAATTATTTAAGTGCTGCAACGACTGCTAATAATAATTTGAGAAATATATGCAATATCTTCTATAGAAGATATTAACTCAGGAAAATTTAACTTTCCTTTTATTAATTCATCATTTATTTGATATAAATTAATTATAGTTGCATCTAGTAAGAAAATTGTCCTCATTAAACATAAAAAAAAGTAATCGAACATCAAAAGTGTTATTTAATTTTCATTTTATTAATTAGCATTTATTTGATATAAATTAATTATAGTTACATCTTCAAAAGTGACCTCATTGAACATAAAAGAAGCAACCGAACATCAAAAGTGTTATTTTTGAAAACATAAATAAATAAACAATCGCCTACTGCGCATCCGCGGTTACTCAAAACTGAGAATATCTTCAGGTTAAAGTTAGTTAACTCTGGGTTGCCGTAACTAGCAGTTCCGTCCACGGTGAAATGAAATTTTGGAATTTAACCTGGAGTTGCTCTCATAAAACCTGTGACTGAGAGTTAGGGTCAATGGTGAATACAATCAACTGCCGTGGTTAACTTTAAAAAAAATGTTCTTTCACGTAATTTTTAGGATGGTTCAAGATCGAATTTGGAGAGATATTATGCCTAAACTATTTGAACCATCTATTTTAGATTAAAACTACCTCTCCCACATTCTTTATATTTTGGTATTAAAAACAAAAATACAGCAAATAAGGTAAGTTTATTCAGAGAAGGTATACTTTTCTGTCTGATTCTGTAACTTAACGACTGTGATTGTTCTCATTGGCCAGTAAGACAGGTTCATTAAGAGAAAGGGGGTGCGATTGGTCTTGTTTTGTTGTGGCGCCATCCATAGCCAAGAATTCAACTTCTGCCACAAACATATGTCACACGCTTTTGTAGGGCGAACCCATTCATACATTCATTCATTCATCCACAGATCGTAATTTTGACCTAAACAAGAGAACCATCAAAATCAAAATCAGCACCCCCAGAAGTTTAATTTGCTATGGAGGATTTTGTGATCTGGCAAATTTAACGTGCACCTGTCACCATTTACTACACGGGAAGTCTTCAGTCGGCTGCATTCGAACTCCCGTTCTCACACGCGTGAATTCAGCCCCTTACCAACCAAGCTAACCCTGCTTCAACTTAACTACTAGTTAAACACAAATTAATTATCATATTTGGGGTTAATCTTTTGAACCATTAACTCCAGCATTTAATTTGTGAAAATCCCGTCATCAGAAAAAAAGTTGTTCAGGGTAAAATCTTTGTTTTTCTCTTTGTGTAAATGCACCATGCCAAGCATCAAGGTTTTTACCAAGCAACGTACATAGTAATAATAATAACGTACCAACAGGTGTGGAAAGATTTCAGGCTAAGATCCACTTCATAGTTGATTTTATATAGAGTATCCGTAAATTTTGATTGACAATATTCAAGATCACTTTTGGTTTTTGGCCAACAGTCTATGTTGTTCAAGTAAACTGAAACAAATTTATTATTAAAATCTAAAGTAATTCTTCAAAGTATTCCTTTTGGTCACATTGCTGAAAAAAAAGAAACTTTTTATCATTGATCATACTGCAACAAGGAAAATAATTTTTTTTTGTGACAGCAGATTAAGACAAATGCATGTACTTTTTTAAGTAATAAATGTAATTTATCAAAAATTAATATAAATTACGTTATATTATAAAAAATATGAAATTACAGAAATTTTTTTTCAGAAATGCGACTTATGCTAGAAAATGGAGTCGCACAGAGTACTTTATGGATGGTAGACCATGTGAAGCTTAGAACATATCGTCGCTTTGAAACTAAACCGTAGTAACTCAAAAAAATCGAAAAATGAGATTTTTGTGTAAAAAAAAATCACCCTTTCAGAGAAACAACGTGTTATCTTCATAGTTCCATAAAATTAATTTAGAGAGCAGATAAATCGCTATCGCATTGCCGCGATTCGCCCTCTTGGTTTTAGGGAATAGTGTAGCATTGCGTCATTTGAAACAAAACCTTGTAAGAGATAAGTCGCATTTCTTCCCTACACTGTTGTATGTCAAAATTTGAAATGAAATATATAATATTCGGGAGGATACTTTGAAGGACATCGTTGTATTTTGAAATAACTCTCCACTTTTAATAAAAGTTTCAGAGAAAAGTGTTGCAACTCAACGTACCTTAACTTATTTCGAAATTATCACAAAATTAGAAATGCTACAAGGATCAGGCCTGGTTCATTGAAAAATGTAAAGAAACAGGGTTTTTTTAATGTAAACTATTTTGCAATAGTCGCCATAGCTTCGAGTCAAGCTGCGGTGGAATTTCCTGAAAAGTTAGAAATCGCTCTCCTGAAAAACTTGCCTTTTTGAGTTACCACGGTCTTAGTTTCAAAGCGAAAATTTGTCGTAAGACTTCCAGGTAATTACTTCCGATAGATTTTCACGCCTGAGCTTGGAAAAGCATGGCATTCAATATCATTATATTTGTAGTGTTCACAGCATTACACGTTCTGCTAATTTAACCTCTTCAACGAAATAAATTAATAGATTCAGACGATCTCGCAAGCATGCTGTGATGATACCCAAACAATAACAATCCGCGATATTTTTCAAAAAAACTCTTGTAAATAGTAAAATTTTGCATAAATTTTGCAAAAAAAAAATCACAATAATAAAACTTTCTAGAATATCAAGCCTGCTCATACATCGTCTCGTAAACATAACATAAGCGGAGAGATATACTGGAAATTTTCGAAACTTCTTCCAGTTTTAGAAAGTTGTTATTTTGCAACCGTCGTTGAACAGCCGATCCAATTTTGGGTTTACGACTACTAATGTTCAACTCCGTAGTCTTGTAATTTTGAACCAATCCAGAAGACAAGGAAACTCCTGGAGCAGCACCCCCGAGGTATGATTTGTTATGGGAACATGGAGACTCGACAGATTTAACGTGCATCAATTACCATTCACTACACGGAAAGTCTTCAGCCGGCTGCATTCGAACTCACGACCTCTTGGACATGGGTCCAGTGTCCTACCAACCAGGCTATCCCGGCCCGAAGTTTGTTATTGTTTACATTTAGTCTACCATCCTAGGTATGTCATGGAATCACGTGAACTAACTTTAGAAAAATAAGATTTTACTCACTACGTATAGCCCTTTTACACAGATTATCTTTATCCTGTCTATGCTGTTCTATCTATATGCCAGGTAAATCTTCGAGTAGAAAGTAGGCGTTACTTTTTATATTAAGCACAATTTCCGAATTTCAACAATCCATTTACAGCCAACCCTCCATATACACATATATTTTTGAATTTTTTGTTTAAAGATTATATCATAGAAAATTTGCGAAAGAAAAAAAATTGAACAAAATCTGACAAACCGTTATCGAGTCCAAATAGAGCAAATTTGAATATTATATAGGCGTAATTTTCGAAAATTGAACAGAAATTCTGAAATACTACTTGCTATAATTTTTTTAAATTCTGGTGAGATGAAGATCCGATTCGCGATCGCAACACTCGAATACGCCATCTGGGGAGAAAACCGGTTACACGTTTAGGCTATCAAAAGTATATTTTAAAATTTACGCAATGCTTAAATTAAGCACTATGTTCAGTGCAGTTTTGAGTTCCATCTAGTTCCCAAGCTTAAAATTTTTTAATCGGTTTGGAAAATAAGATATAAATTAAAGTACTCCATTGGTTGTCCACACGCTACAGTGAAAGCATGCCTAGTGTTACCTTAAGTAATGAGTTCTGCTATGTGCCAGCTGTAGTCCATTTCAAGCGCCAATATTTTGCTGGCCTCAAAAGATACTTTTCAGTTGCATAAGTATCCAGCATTCGATTATTCGTGAAAATTTATTTAAAAAAAATATTTACAATATTTTCCCTGGGTCTCCACACCTTGGAGAGATGAGTTCGTTCGAAAAGAGAGACGCCACTTATGAGTATTAATATACTGTCTACCTGTATTGAATTCTGTCCCATCTGTGCATAGATCTTCAAGTATTTTCAGTCTGCCACCAGCAGCTAGATTGAAGAGTGCAGCTTTTTCGTTAGACATGCAGTAACTCATGTAATCTCTCACGCATTTCATCGCATTAAGTTTTTTCCTGCAACAGAATGTTGAATTTAGCATGCAATGTGGCATAACTGACCTAATCTAACGAGAATGAACACAAGAACATACATTTGGGGATAACATTTTGTAATGAATTCAAGCGAGAAATGAACTCATAGACAATTCAACTAACTAAAGTGCTCCCCATTTAAAAAAACAAACAAAAAAAAACATGATTTTGTGTCCTACTTATCTGAAAGTCAAACTGAACGAAATATGTATAAGGTAGAATCTAGTAGACCATTCATTGCGAAAGACAGATACTAGAAAACGAAGGATCAATATAAAATATCCAATAATTGACTTGCGTGAAACGCAGTAAAAATTCAATGGACTTGATAATTAAAAAAATGAAAGGCGAAAAATTGAAGCAAATCATGTACTTACTGCAAAAAATAAAGAAATAATTTTTTTTTTTAATTTGAAAATTTGGGTTGGATCACACTCTGACCTTTGATCCATGACCTTGACCACTATGACCCTTGTGCAACTCAAACGCAGTTCGATCAAACTACTGGTTTTTGCTAGATTTATTCGAAGAATGTCTGTTTCCTGATTCAACTTTAACGTTACGAACATTTCTTGTGACGTGACCAGCACGATATCTTTGAAGGCAAATTCCGATAGAGCAATTTCTGACCAATCACAAAGCAGATTTTCTCCATTTAATGGCGGTGATGAAGGCAAATCAAACGTGTAAGAAAATAAAAACTTGGTTATGTGTTAGAAACACTCCTCGATAATTTTAAAATAATCCGCTGATTGAACAGTGGTCTGCTAGTTTTTGATTAAAAGATGTAAAGATTTCGAATTACTTAATAGCATTTATAAAATAATTCCCAGATTGAAATCCAAAATTGCATACTTGCATTTCAAGAAGAAGATCTCCTATACCCACACATAAGACCTATGACGTCAGCGCCAGTTAATCTTTATCGTCAAAATTGCGTTTTAAAGTTGAGCTAAGTTTCTCTGCACAAGTTAGAACATTAATTAACTATAAGTTAAACAATACAGAACCACATCGCACATCGAATTTTTTGAAATATAATTCCTTCTCGCCTACTTCTTTTATTTAACTTAGATTTATTATTTGTTTGAGTAGTTTATTGTAACCATGATATATTTTTGTTTTGCGTACCTGGCAACTTCGTTGCATAATTAGTTTGTTTGTGCTTCACGTGACTTCATGCCTGTCTTTGTGCTAAGTCTCTGTGTAAATATATATATAATGAAAGAATTGAAATCTTTGAGAAAGAATCTTTGAGAAAGAATTTAGAATGTGTTACTTAAGAGAATTGATACTTGACAGGCTTGGCTTACTTGAAATAAAATGGAAAAAACAGTAGCTAATGTGAACAAATGCCATGTTTCATCAACCAATCGAGATACCAACACTACGTCACTTGGAGGTATTCCATTATGATTCTTCCTCGACAGTCGCTGTAAATTCATGTTTGCTGTTTCGAATTTATTACTTATAAAAATAAACTGCCAGAATTTGATTAATTATCATTTTCTACTGGGTAATTAAGAAATATATCGTTTCATTACAGGTTGTTGATACGGACAAATATTTTCCGATCTGGTTAGATACAAAAAACCCAACAAATGTCATGATTTGGGCACGTATGTCTGCAGATGGTGTGGGCCGAATTCAAGTGATTGATGGCATCCTGAATGCCAAAAAATACATCGAAACTGCATGAAACCAAAATTGATACCTTCCATCAGGGATATCTTCCTCAACAACGCACCATTTATTTTTCAGCAGGATACAGCTCCATGCCACACAGCAAAATTATGCAAAGCATGGTTTCAAAATAAAGCCATAGATATATTACCATGGCCAGGAAACAGGCCTGATCTCAATCCAATTGACAAATTGTGGCGACGTTTGAAAATTCTTGTACGAAAAAAACGTCCATCCAATAAAGGACAACTTATTGAAGCTATAATTGATTCTTGGCACCATATGATTACGAAAGATAAACTCCCAACACTCGTTCAGTCGATGAAAAGACGCTGTGAAGCTGTCTTAAAAAATAAGGGTTATCCTACTAAGTATTGATTGTGTAAGTATCACTTTANTATATATATATATACAGGCTCCTCTATATATACCAATATATAGAGGAGCCTCAGCATAAACAAATTTGACATGATTTACTTGCCCGTGTCGTCGCTATAGTTATCTATCTCATATTCGGTGATGATTATTTATGGAACAGGATCATTGCCTGGTATATATATTTGATCGGTATTTCTCAAATTGTTCTTTTTTTCATGTTAAGTGCCCCTGACCAATACTCCCATAACAAATGTTTTTTAATGTTAGGTCCCACTGCTCGGTATTCATTTATCCGGTATTCCTTACATTGTTTTCTAAAGTTAAGTGCTATTGCCTGCTGTTACATGTACGAATGTTTTTTTAAGGTTAAGGACAACTGCCCGATATTACATTTGCCCTATATACACTTGTTTAATATTTCCTACAGTGATATTTTTTGCGTTAAGTGCCAATACCTGATTTTCTCTACTTTGAGATTTTTTCATAAGGTCAAAATAAAATATGATTACTTAAAAAATTAGATTTACTGAATAAAATTTTTTTTGTTTGTTTGATCATCAACTTAGTATCATGGAAAAAAAATTACTTTTTTCTTCATGATTTAAATTTCTTTGAAGACAAGATTGATTCAGGTACCTCAACTAAAATATTCTTGTTTGATTAAAATTGATAAGCTACAAAAGCAACTAATCTTATAAATTTTTCAGCAGCTTTTGGATCTTTCTGAAAAATGTTTCGCAGTCCATTACCAGAACTGTGCATGAGCAATTTATTTTTGAGAAATAATCTCATGATTGTCGCTACAGTGAGTTTTTGATAACTGTTTTTCATGCTTCAAATTTTATCACATTTTTAAATGACAATTAAAATTTAAATAATAATTATTAGTAGCATTTTTTTTTGTTTTCTCATTAGGGAAAAAAGCAAACAAAAAACACATGCATTTACAATGTAAAATAAGTTGCAGTATAAGATCTGGTAGGTAGGCACTCAATTGAAGTCGAACTGGGGCTGCACAATGGGCTATTGGCGACTGCCTGGGAAACATCCATGGAGATGATCCGAAGACATGCCGTCGCAATATTGATCCTCTGAGGAGAGGATGGCTACCCTGCTTTGGTAGCCCGAAGACCTCCGCGTAAAGTCGAGCACTTTACGGTAGAACAGTTTAACGAGGACTGATACCGCACACCTTCAGTCCTTATGCAGGCTGATCAAAATGGTCACCCACCCGCTTACTGATCGCAACCAGTGATGCTTGATTTCGTTCTTCTACAGGGAACCGTGTTTTTACGATCAAATGTATAAGATCAGATGTGGGACCAGTATAAGATCAGATGATTGTGGGCAGAAAATAAAAGACTTAAGGAGTGAAATAAATATTGCCAAGCATGATTTAAAAAAAAGACATTTATTATTTGCTAATTCCTTTTTAATTCAATTGTTTCTTGTAATTCAAAAGAAAATGAAATTTATATATCAATCTGTTACTCCCCCTCATTTTTGCTAAAATTTTAGATTTAAAGACGTGAGTTCTAGAATGAGTTTTTCATAAACATTTTACATTAGAATGAGTTTTGCATAAATAATTGGAACTTGAAATACACTTAAGTAAAACTTCCTTGTTAATCTATCCAAATGCTCATCGAGTTATCAAGTTATTAGAGATTATATTAGAGTTTCTTCTGGAAACTCTCGCTTAATGGGATATAAAATAGAATTAATTGAAAGGATGAAATTAAAAACCTTAAATTTTGAAATATTTGATGCGGTTCTTGAAATAAATAGCTTTTGAGCTACATTTTCAACTTTTGAAATTATATTTGGCTCTGGAATAAATAATCTTTGAGGTTTTGCCATAGAATAAGCACAAAAATAATTTTTCCAAGTGGCACAAAGGTTCTGTAATAAAAATGGTTCAAACCCACGAAAAAAAGAAGAGAAAAAGGGACTGTACGCAAAATACTTTACCTATTAAGAAGATTGAAAAATAATGCAAAATGAACAATGTACAAATAAATAAATAAATAAATAAATAAATAAATAAATAAAATAAAAGTAAATAAGTAAAATAAAATAAAACTTGAGCAGCCTGAATAACTTTCTATCTAGTGGACAGATTTTAACAGATTTGGAAGTTTCAGTAATAAAAATAATCCAAACCCACATAAAAAAAAAAGAAAAAAAGAAGAAGGACGAATACTTTACTCATAAAAAAAGACTTAGTGTTGAAACATAATGCAAGATAAACAATGTGCAAAAAAAGAAAAGAAAAAAAAAGAGGAAATGAAATAAATAAAACGTGAACAACCTGAATAACTTTTGATCCTATGGTCAGATTTCGAGTTCTTAATCTTAATTGTGTTAATTAGACACATTGAAATTAGACACAAATACGTTCTTTCAGTGAATAAACATTGTGCCTTTCTTCCGATACCTATGAATTCTTGACCTTCTAAATATAAGAAGTATCAGCAATCTGGAAAATATGTTCCTAACAGTTTAGGCAGGAGAGTTGTCGAAAGTTTGGACCCCTAAATGCTAATTTTACTTTATGCGTATTTCGCTGTATCTCGAGAACATTTCCACCGAATCGAAAATTTTTTACTCACAATTATAAAATTCGTTTATCTAGACAAAAATGATTTTTAATAGTTATTTATCTTTTATTTAACAGTAATCGAAAAAATTTTGATTGTAAGGTATACAAATTTCAACATAATTTTTAAGAATGTAATTTTAATGGAAAACTTCAAAATGTGTACTAAATCGGTCGATAAATCTTGAGAAATAAAAATTTAAGTATACGGCTTTTTAAAAATTTGATAGCTCAGAAACTATTCGACCAATTTCGTTCAAATTTTGTACCAATTTTAATGATTCAAAAGCTTTTTCTTTCATTATAAAAAAATAAAATATTGCAGTTTGAAATTTTTGCTGACAT